GTGAATTGAGGTCTAATACAATCTCATAATTCTCAAAAAACTTTAAAACATCTTGAAAAATACTTCTACTTGGCAAGTACAGGTACTTTTGCGATTATTTTGACTTTATGTGCAAATTAAAGCGTTAAGCACAAACTACTGTATACCCTAGAGAACGTATTTGATGTAAGTACTTGATTACTTACTAGGTAATGGTCAATGATCGAAATACTTGCCTTATTGCTAAGAAGTACTTTCTGAAAGTACTTGGCAAGTAAGGACAAGTACTTACAAAGTAAATTTACTTCTGGAAAAAAGGCAAGTACCGGCTTCTTTACGCAGACGAAGCATTTGGTCCAAGTACTTGGCCCCAAGTACAGTGGGTCACTTTATAGAGCATCAAAACCTGCGTCGAATGCGGTCTATGAACGCATATTTTGCTCAACAAATTAGAACGCTGTTCCTTTCACAACATCCAGTACTCACAAGTACGCGTACCTGTTCTGCACACTATACGTTCAAAAAACAAAAAAGTTACAATAGAAATAATCATCACCATGAAGTACAAGAGTCAACTAATAAACTCATTTTATATATTCTTCATTGATTCGGTGAGAAACTGTTTAAGCAAAGATCGACAGTGAAATTCTATCCAAAAAATTAAATCTATTTTTTTGCCGTTAGAGTTTAATAATACAATTAAAAAGTGATTAAACTGAAATTCGATAGTAAATACCGCATGTGAGTTGTTGTATAAAGAATTTCTATTTTATTGGAAAGATTTGTATTGCATACATTAATCGACATATAGATTTTTCGTTTTCATGATGATTTTCTTTATGTAATACGGATTATTAACTATGAAAATAATATCATGTTGAGATATAACAACTTTCAATGGTCATTAGGTCAACCGGGTACTACCAGACATAGAATATTATGAGATTAGTGTCTTTGAGATTCGAAATAGAAGATATTTATGCGTTTTACAGTATTAGACAACTTTTTATGATTAACCCAATGATAAAAACGAGCTATATCACGAGGTATTTCACGCTTCATTAAAAATGACTAAAAAATTAAACTTGTACTATTTGACACGTGACATATCAATTAGAGTTGCTTTGAAAACAAGATGAGAATTTGCTCTCCTAGGAGTTGTAGAAAAGTATCTCGTTATTCATAGATTTTTCGATAAAGAAGACGTGATGGCATTGATTTTATCGAAAAAAAACGACAAAGCTTTTAATTAAATCACAAAACGTTTAGAAGGAAAATTAAAATCGACGTGTTAAAATTTGTATTTTTCCAATAATGTATCTTATAAGATGATGAAACAGCTGCATAAGACTAAAAGGATTCGATTTTCTTTCTTATTCTTTATTTTGTGATCAACTACACACACACACACAGACACACACACACAAATAGAACCACTTTGAGTTTTTTGAGTAAAAAAGAAAAAGAGGAATTTATTTCCTGTTTTTCTTCTTCTCTTCATTTTATTTTAATTCTTTTACTTGATAAAAATGATATAATTATCGGCATATATTATTAAAGTATGCAAAAATTAAAGATAAAAAATAAATGGTATTCTAAATATACGTCAGCACAAACACAAAGGTATCACATATAGTTGAGTTATTTTTTGCATATTGTAAAGACGATGAAAAAAATGAACTGATCGTCGTCGTATTCCAATTGATAAGTACTGCATCAGCTCATTGTTCATTGTTGTTGTTGTTCAATTTGGGCATACTCAAGTAATTTTTTTCCTTTTAATATCATAATACACTTAAAATAAGATATACATTGACGTATTTAACATATCCTTTTGAAGGACATACTTTTCGCTGCCATAATTTTCAATGTTACTGGATAAAAAAGAGATAAGTATTTTAAATATAATGAGACACGTTCAACTGTATTCACACGTCTTTTCTTCTTCTTCTTCTTCTCTTTTTTTTTTACAAATGAAAGAAATTTATACTGTAGAAGGCCAAAAATCAAGTACACTTGTTTCTCAGTATCAAGTTCTTTAGATAACTTTTTACCATTAAGATCAATGGATGACATACTAAAACAAACAAAAAAAAATTTATGTTTTATAAATGAGGTTACATAACGTAAAACGGAAAAGAGTTGATGTTTTTTTTGTTTTTTTTTTCACAAAAAAAAAAAAAAGTGATTTTCAATCAAAGATAACGTCTTGTCTTTGAGTCCGATGATCAAATACAAATTAATTATTATTTCTTTTCTACGATCTTATCGACGTTATTTTTAACTTCAAAAAAATACCAATATAACAAGAACAAACACAATTTGTTAATATAAAGAATAATCATGCGTATTAAATTCATTTTTGTGTTTCTCTTATCGGGAAAATTTTTCATGAATAGTAGAATTAAATCATTATTAAAAGTAATTAGTCTTATTTTGTTGAAAACATGTTTCACAGATATTAGAATAAATAAGAGAATACTTGTCATATCTATTACATACACTACACTTGTTTTTAAAAAAAAGAAAATAATTAACAGAAAGTGAACAGATAACATTACGAATTTCATCTTTTAGTTTTATTTATACAAAAGTATAGTTGACATAGTGTTTGTTATAAGTGGGCAATTTCTTCTTTTTTTTTTTTTATCTTTCAACAATTCTGCTAATATTTTTTCATTAGAATAAAAACATAAATATAAAACCGTATGTTCACATTAAATTAAGAAATATTTTTATAATTCACCGAACCGTTACGTCATCATCACTCTTTTGAGGAAAAATGTATTCTTTTAAAAAGGTGATCTGACGTCACTCTTTTATTTTGTTTTCTTTATAAGATGCAAAGATGACAGATTATACATTAAAATAATGAACCATGTGTTAAAAACAGTACTGCATTTCGATACAATATCTGTATATTAAAGTATTCGTTGTTTATATAAGGAAGAAACGCTTCCATAATATTTGATCGATGAAGAAGATGGAGATTAAAGACGTGAGAATAAACTACCTGATGTTATTTCTTCAAATAGATGATATCTGTTTAGATATCGATAGGAAAAATAGCTGCAGTGTTGGTATATCTGACGGAGTATAGGAAATTCTAAATTAGATCACGAACAATTCATATGTACAATAAGAATTAGTTAAAGAGCAAAAACATCATGTATCACCTTCAAAATAATTTGAATATTAGAATTTAAAATTAAACTCTCTTTCCACAAGTTTAAGATCTAAACATTTTCATAATTAATAAGTTTTAGTAGACGATTCAACACTATTTCTTATTTAAACTCAACATTAGACGCATGAGCTATTTATTAAGACTAAACTGAGAGAGTATGTTACTTTTTTCTACTCTCTAGTATCAAAGAATTGTACTGCTTTTACATTTTTGCTTGAAAATTTCTTTTCACATTCATTGATTATAATAAAAAAAAACATCATGGACGTTTCTCATGTTTTCCTAAAGAAATATAAACTTTCGTATGTAAACGTGTCTACCATACTCATTGGAATCATAGTCAAACTCAGTTAACGGGGAGAAAAAAAAAAGCTATCAGAGATATCTGAGAACATTTCAGAAATGTATTTTATTCGTTTATTTGCTGTCTTAATAAATCGAAAATCTTGAGATGTTTTTGTGAAAAATTTTTGATATTTTTGTTAAAACTTGGAAAAAAAAGACTGTAATAACAAATAAAGAAGGAAACATACGATTCTTCGTGATTTTTCAACTCGGCGACTTGATCACGTAATTCTGCTACTGTAGTGTAATTCCTTCACCATCCTTTTGACATTTTGCTCTATAATTCTCAATGATAAGTTTTGCTTTGCAATCTCTCATATCAAAGAGAAAAATGTGCTGAATATTTCGAGACTTTGACACACTCTATATGTTCTTTTGTTTAAGAACTATAGCAAAAATACGAACTGCTAATTTTTCAGGTAGTTTTGAAAATTAGCAGTTCGTATTTTTGCTATAGTTCTTAAACAAAAGAACATGTAAAGTGTGTCAAAGTCCCGAAATATTCAGCACATTTTTTTCTTTGATATGAGACCCATTGCAAAACTCTGGACTTATCTTCGTCGGAGAATTATAGAAGAAGCAAAACGTCAAAAAATCGTGAAGAAATTACACTACAGTAGCAGAGTTACGTGATCAAGGCGTCGAGAAAAATGCCTATTACTAAACATCCGAAAGATCTTGAATGAAAACTTGATAATATTAATAGCTAGAGACTTGAAAATAAGAACACAAGAATGCTCTATTGAGTTTTTGATTAGTCTATGAATATAATACATCTTAGGTTTTCCTTTGACTAGAGTAGAAAGGATTCTTAATAATAAAAGTCATTAAGTTAAAAAGAATTGTTTCAATATTGAGTATTATGATAATTTCTTTAGTACTAACTGAAAGTTGAACTTTTTTTTGTTTATTTTTCAATTTGACTAAATGGTAATTATTGAAATAAAATAGTGAACACTTTGAACAAGTTAATTTTTCATCATCTTTCAAAAACATCAAAAGACGATGACATTGAATTATATAAAAATGTATAAATAATTGAATTTATTTTGACTGTAAGTTGATTAGAATCAGGGTCTTGCCCTTCACCGTTTAGTTAGAGATAGAAAGAAAGATGTTTTTAAATGCATTTGTTTTCGTTCATTTATTGTTCAACAATACATACACACACACACACAGACACGAACATAATTCATTTGCGGCTCAAGGATATTATAGTTTTCTTCGTATTTTCTATTTAATTCTTTCTTCTTTTCTGTCTTTCTCTTTCTCCCTCAAGGCAAGAAACGTTACAAGTGGAATGTTTCCTATTTTCCATTTTATATATTAACAAATATAATAAGCTTTTCTTTTTTCTTTTTATGTAGTTATAGGCTTGAAAGATGAGACATATTCATCTGCTTATGTTCTTTTTTTTTTTTCACCTTTTAGAACAACAGTTATCTTTCCTAAAATGTTCATTCGGATACTATATTGATTGGTTACTAAGATGAATATATCAAATCAATCATCAACTGTCAATGTTCCATTAGTTTTAAGTCTACCACCTATTCCACAACTAATTATTCTTGGTATTATTTTTACTACATCTGTATTACTTAATGCATTATCAATTATATGTATTTTGGGTGCAAAAGCTATAACACCAATTAATCTATTAATTATCAATTTGGCTATTAGTGATATTGTTTATGCATTCACTATACCAGTATTTGCTGTACATATCGTTATACCTTGGTGGCCATTTGGACGACTTGGATGTCAGTTATCGATAGCAATCGATATCATAGCCATGATTGTAAGTATCTAACACTTTTAATTAACTTAATTAATGAATTTATCTAATTTAATTGATATGAAGCAAATTTATTTTTAATATTCTTAAAATATTTTTGTTTATCATAAAGTGGCTAACAAAATTATTGGTCTACCTTTATTTTTAATTTTTCTCCTTGACCATAATAGCTAGAATAAATCTGAAAAAAGATTTGAACAGCAAAACAAATTTTAAAATCAGATATGCAGTATACAAAAATTCTACCAAAACTTTTGAAACTAGAATCTCTGAAAATCAAAAACTTAAAAAAATCAAGTTTTCGAATTGGAGTCGTTTTTGAAAACAATTGTATCTCGTAGAGCAAACATTTCTGAACAAAATGAGACGTCTCTGAGCTCTCTATGACATTTTTTCATGACACAAGGTTCAATTTACGAAAGACCCTATGTCAGTAAAATCAGCAAAATTAACAGACGATCAGTCTCCAGGGTCTTTCGTAAATTGAATCCTATGTCATGAAAAAATGTCATAGAGAGCTCAGAGACGTCTCATTTTGTTCAGAAATGTTTATTGTAGGAGATACAACTATTTTCAAAAAAAATGTACTAATCAAATTCGGGAACTTGATTTTTTAATTTTTTTAATTTTTCAGAGACTCTGGTTTCAAAAACTTTGATGGAATTTTGTGTATACTATATATCAGATTGAAAATTCTTTCAGCTATTCAAATCTTTTTTCAAATTTATTCTAGCTATTATGATTAAGGAGAAAAATTAAAAATAAAGATAGACCAATAACTTTTGTTAGCTACTTCATAAAAAAAAATAGACATTCTATGACCATAAAACATGAACAAAGAAAATATTTTGATTTTGATTATAAGTGAGTTGAATTAATCTGTTAACTTAATAGATGATATTAACATCAATAAACTTCTTCGAAAATAATCACAATAGGAAAATAGTCAGTTAATAACTAATAGTATTAACAAAACGTATAGGATATTGAAATAGAAACTGTATTTGAATGTTTATTACGAATCTATTTAAAACTAAATATTATGTCAAACTTGTATAGTAATAATATGTATTATATAGTCACACAAACAAAAGATTATACTCTCATCTTTCTTTATTCATACAAACTATCCTCGAGTTTTTTCTTTCATTTTTAAATACATCTGTTTTAATGGGAAAATTAGAAGGTAATGCAGTTAGTAATTACTGTTTAATTGCATGTCAATATTAGAGTACTAAACTAATTTAGAGAATGAAAGAGAAATGAAGAAAAGATTAAAAATCTTCAATTTTTTTATGTACACTATTGAATCTAATAACAAAAGAGATGATCAATTTGTTAGAAAAATAAGATAATAATATTTTGTACAGATAGACAATCATCTTAAATTAAAATAGATGAAAAATAAATGAAAAGAACAGTAAGATGAAAATGAATGATCTACAAAAATTTTTTTTATAGAATGTTCAACTAGCAACATGAACTACTGATAAAAAGACGATATATGATGGGAGTAGATGGAAAACGTCTTTTATTAGAATAATGTAGCGAATTAGATCATTTTAACATTTAAATAGTAATAGTTCATTATAAATCATCTTTAGCTCTCTTATTTTTTAGTGAAACTAGGGAAATAAAATTTTTTGAGAATGATTGTTTTAATTATTCTATTACACAAGAAATCCCATAACGTGTTTGAAATTTAGAGTCTGTTAAAGTCTTCTCAATAGATGCCAAAAGCAATTTCTATTTTCTTGAAAATATGTAAATATTTTATCATCTGTTTTCTACTGTGAAAATAACGAATAATTTTATGCTTTTATTTCTTTTTCTTTAGAAGAAAATGAACTGACAAAGACCAATAAATGTTCAAATAACTGTCATGTTTTCTGAATTGTAACAACTTTAATATGATTAAGTTATTTAAAAAAGAGAACATTATTTAATAATTTATCTGTTGATGTATATAAAAGAAAAAAAAAACAGAAAAACATTAGAATTTATTGAGCTCTTTACAATTATAAAATCTGTCTTGAAAATCTTACGACTATGGAAATTTACACTCATGTTGCACTATACTAAAGTTGTAAAATAGTCAAAATAAATAAATTAGTTATTAAACAGAGTTGTGAGACATCTTGTTAACGCAAGAAATAAGAGAGCACTTATCACGCAAACATTAAAAATAAAAAAAACAATTAAGTTTATCCAGATAAACATTTCATTTTAAATGAATTCATTGAGATTTTAGTTCATAATCATTAATACCAGCGGTCACTTTCTCATTTCACACGCCATAGTACAGACTTGTTCTTAAACTAAAATTCTTGTAAATTAGAAGTAATTCATGATTTTACGTATACTATACATAGGGAACACATTCGTGTTTAATAAACACGTTCAAACTACTCTTTTATATTGTTGGTCTCAAATGAACATATCTTAAGGGTATTCCCGCCCTCTTTTCTGACCCTCTTGAAACTCTGGGAAGCCGATGTCCGATCAGAGTGAAAATTATACCAGAGATCATCGAAAAAGAAAATCGATTTATTTTTGCTCAGAGTTTTATGGCATGCTCTAGACTGCTGCGGGATAGCCTCGAATTCCATTCTGTCTGTCCCGTCCCGTGGAACAGACGAGGTCGGAACAAAAAGAAATTTAGGGGCTTTAGACAAATTATATTTTTCTAGGCCTGGCTCATGCGCTCGGACTAAAGAAAAACTTTACGGGTTTGAGCTTACGGGTTCAAGGCAACAAAAACGTTTGCCTCGCAGGAGTCTAACATGCTCTTCTACGGATACAGTCACATTACGATCCCTCGAAAAAATGGTCCAGATACTTTACACCTTATCTCAGATTCATTTGTTTTATTTTCGAAAAATATGCTTTTCTTCTCGAAATGTCCGAAAAATGCTCAAAATCAGACAAAAAACCCGAAAAAAACTGACTTCTTTTGCACGACTGTCAGCATTTTTCGGATATCTCGAGAAGGAAAGTATAGTTTTTGAAAAGAAAACAAATGACTCTGAGATAGGGTGTAAAGTATCTGTGATAAAATTTCTGCCTTAATCGGATCATTTTTTCGAGGGATCGTAATGTAACTGGATGAAAACTCTTATTTTCCAGAAAACCCATAGAAGAACATCTGAGAAAATTCTGGGCAAAAATAGATCGATTTCTTTTTCGATGTTCTATCTGTGGTATAAATTTCACCCCGATTAAACATCAGATTCCCAGGATTTCAAGAGGATCCCAAAAGAGGGGGTAGTGGGGTACTCTTAAATGTTTTTCATATTTTCTTCTGTAGTAACGGGTGGCGCATAAATAAACGCACTCCCGTATTTTGAATATAACTCCGCCGGCTTTTATCCTATCGATCCAAATTTTTTTCCAAGAGATTCCTTATTGAATTCTCTACAAAACCATGTCATA